TTGGCGCAGGCCAGGATGTCGTTACAAGGAAATTGTAACCGAACCAATCAACGGGCACTTCCCCTTTCCAGGTCCCCTTTACAGTGCTGCTTTCTTAAAAACGGGGCTGCAAAAAGCGCCAACTTGCCTCGGCGTCCTCTGCCAGCATCGTCAGCGCCGGCAGGGCCGCGGACACTGCCTAAGCGGAGGTCAGTTCGATGCCCCGTTGGGAAAACTTCAGCGGAGATAGGACCGCGGTTTTTGGCCGAAGAGATGGGTCCGTTCCCATTTGCAGAGCTCATTGCCCTTGCACGGACACAACCCATGTTTGGCCATAAGAGGAAGTTCAAAGTGACACACACAGCTCCATTTCTGAGTCTGCTTCCAAGACAGTCGATCCCCCAAGTTTTCCAAGTAGGGAACCAGGAAAAGGTCCTCGCCTCATAGGTTTCCGCTTGCTTCACCTTCAAATTTACATTTCGGGCGTCCCTCGCAGAGGTCCCAAGACACTTCGCCCCGAGGCTCCCGCCACGGCGGGGTTGAAGTCGTTGCCGGCCTGGCGGGAAGCGGCATCCGGAGGATCCGTGGGCCAAGGGGAAGCCACGTTTGAGGATTCCTCGCTTCTTGCCCCTCAGCGGTCGATCAAAACTTGGAAAGCACCTGCGACTTGGATGGGAGTCAAGGCTTGGTCAACCAAAGCCGTGCCCAAGGGGTCATACCCATTGCCAGCGATTTTGAAGGCTTTTGACACCGAGCTGAGTCCTTGTGGGCCTATTGGCAACGAGAGACCGGATTTCTACAGGGCCAGCTTGACTCGAGGCAACAACCGCGCTCTCTGGGGCGCGCAAATCAGGGAATAAAGGCATTTCCATTATCTTGGCAAATTGCAACAGGTCACAAACCGGACATCGGACATCCGAAAGTAAAAGGATTTTCAACATGGTTGAAGTCGCTCATTTCGCCCTGAATTAGTCAGCTCCCTAATTTGTGCTGATCTATCTGCCGCGTGCCACCGCTGAGCAGAGAGAAAAAAAAAAAAAAAAAAAAAAAAGCACACGGGCAAAGGCACACCATGCTGCAATTCAAAGCGGCGCTTTTCTAATCCTGACGAAACAACTGATCAAATCTGGTCGTACCTAGTGAATCCAGAAGAGCAAAGTAAACACAGAGAGAGAGAGAGAAAGAGATAGAGAAAGAGATAGAGACAGAGACAGAGACAGAGAGAGAGAGAGAAAAAAAAAAAAAAAAAAAAAAAACGAAGCAAAACCATCAGCTCGACCGGCGCTTGCCTTCGGCGCCTCCGCAGGGCTGGGCACAAAGCAGCGCAGACCTCAGCACACGTGGTATGCGCGCGCGGACGCATGCGGTTTGCGCCCGGCACCGTGGTCGAATGAAGTACATGGATTCCCGAATAAAGGCATGCGGTTGAATGAACCCAGGGATTTCCGCCAGTTGGATGGATTTTCTGGGGTTCATTGCATTTCTCATGCCTATCGCACCAGCAAGTAAAGCGAGGAGATCAATCCTAGCTCCTTCGAGGCCCAAGTGCTGGAAGCCAAACACGGGCCACCAAAAGGATGAGTCCGCTGAAGGAAGTCTTCAGGGGTGTCCCCATTCGACGCGATCGGCCGGCTGTCCACTTCCATGTTTGGTGGGGCGTGCGGCTTGCAAGAAGGGAAAATGAGATGTCCCCCAAGACCCAGATCGTAGGCGTGTTCGAGAGATGGCAGGAGCAGATTGATGGGGTACTGACCCCAATTCTTCAACCTGGTGGATCAGTAGAATCAGTAGAGAGATGTTTACACCAAAAGTCAAGAAGGCCCTCCAAAAAGGGGCACGCCCCCCTTTTAGTTGACCAGGGGTCGATCAATCCTGCGTTTCCACTTCCCACAATCTATCGGTGCTCCATGGCCTACTGGCTCGGCCTTCTGGATGGACCCGGATGGGCTTCCCTTCCACGCGGCGGGTTTTCCCTGAAAATCAGGTCCGGAAACCGGCAAGCTTCAAGGGTTCTGAGGGGGGACAAACACATGAATTGTTTGGTCACACGGCAGATCAAAAGACCCGGGCCCACATGTTCGAGCAGGGGAATGCATCTTGAGACAAGTCGACTTGACTGGGGGCACAGGCTCACAAGCGCCGCTGCCACCGCCAAGATGATTCGTCCTGGCGTCAGATGAAGCGTATGGCGGTATGTTGGTGACAGGCGAAGTGTTTGAACAGGGTAAATTGGTGCTCCTCGTGTGGGTGTATGTGTTTTCTGCTTGGGCACAATGCGTGCCAAACTCTCATGACAATCCACATTGCTTTCAGCGGGTCAACAAAGAAGCACAAAGCATCAAATAGACGTTCACGTCTGGCTTGTGCAAAAACACAGGGTGTCTGCCAAGGAAACCTTCGGGTGCCGAAGGTTATGCGCCAAAACTCAAGATGCGTGCTTGCTGCCAAGGACATGGAACATCCAGTGAGCCCCTGGATTTGTAATGGGGAACTGAGTGAGCCCGCCCATGTTCCTGCATGGTCTCAAAATATCCTGGTTGGTTTCACCTTGGCATTGCTTTCAAAACGTCCAAAGAGTCGCTACCCAGACAGCCTCAAGCAAGCACGGCTTCAAGAATGTTCTGCGCGTCTTCAAGAATGCTCTTGCAAGGAAGTCTCAAATCACGTTCACTATCTAAAGCTTTGAAAGGCCTCATGCGATTGGCCGCGAATGCGCAAAACCCATCGCAAGGATGAGAGGCTGTGAAGTTCGCTTGCTGATGTCAAGGAAGGCAACTATACCACACTGGTTTGAGATGGTTTGGGAGCAGCTAGTGAAAATCACCCCTCAAATCCTGCAAGAGCTTCTGCCGGGGAGATGACTCTAGCGGTGTGCTGACTCCCAAACCGTGAAATAAAAAAGAAACATGACTAAAGTAACCCCGAAGAACTCTCCCCGAACAACACCCTTGCCCCCGAGACGGAACTTGCCCCGTGCCTGGGCGAGCCATGCTGGATCTGACCTAGGCATTGCCGCATGGTGGAAGCAGTTTCTTCGCTGAGCTGTGCAGCTTGCCCCCAGCCAACAATGATTTGTTGTTTCTAGCCTACTTGTGAACCTTTAATAAGCTGTTCTTTTAGAGATCCCGGATAGGACTTGCATCCGAGCACCACCTGATTTGTGGGAGTCAGGTGGTGCGGTTCAGGGAAATTTACGAGCTCGTCTGGGTGCTATCAGTTGGGCACCTGACCCGACGATTTCATTGGGCCAGGGATCAATCTCACGTCAGGAAAAGACCTGATATACCAAACACGAAATTGGGACTTGGAACCTGCCCTGGCGCCTGGCGATTCCATTTTCGGCAGGTGTCTAACCAGATTTTATCTTGGCTTCACATGCTGGTGTCACCTGGTTACCTGCCATAGCTTTAAATGTGTTCATTAGCTGTAGGAGGAAAATCCGCATCCTGGATTGGCAAAGTCTTCCGAGTCTTCTGAAACGAGCTACACGCATGAATGTGTTGGCAAATTACTAGAATGCCTCCCCAAGTAGGGGACTCTTTGTCATGCGCGAGCTCGTAGTATGCCCAGCTGCGCTTGTCAGAATTTGTCCAGAAAGTTTTCTGGGGGCATATGCTGCGTGTGTGTGTGTGTGCCAAATCCAACTTCCCGGCCAGATCGGCAACTGATTCAATTCCCCCCCCCCCTGGCCCGAAATAATGGGTTCTGAGAACCCGCGCAAGAAAGAGAAAGGCAAGTTGCTTAACGCCGGTGGAGATCGCTGCAGAGCCAGCAGCCTCTTCGGAACTCGGAAGTCAGTCAGCCTCCTGGCTTGAGACATTCCACATATCTGAAAAGCCACCTTCCTGGATTCCTGTGTTTCTGTGGGAACTGGGAAGGGGCCAAACGCCCCTTCCAACGTTAAAGAAATCCCACCCTTGGAACAACCAGGCACTTTTCAGCTGGGCCAACATTGTTTGACATGTATTGACGTTTAGTAGGGTGCTTTTTCGCCCTCGTTCCTTATTTGGCTCATACGCCTTTTTTTTAATTGCTTTTACTTTTTTTCCTCTTTTTTCTCTTGCCAAGTTACCAGAGAATGGTTGTGAGCAGGTCACGTGACACGGGGTTGAGTGAACCGGCGGTAAGGACTTGCAGAAGTCCTATTTGGGAGCAGATTTGTCAAATTCCTAAGGGTCGGGTTGCCCTGGGATCCTCGTTTTGACGTGTTTTCTTTGGGTAAAGTCAGCAAGTGGGGGTGTTTCCTTTTCATCTCTCACTAGGGTGGCTTTGATGGTAAAATGATGGGTGCAGTTGGCGTTTTATTTCCCAACCTCCTTTGGGGTATCCATGTATTTTGACTGTGGCCGCGGGTGCAGTGAAGCCACTGGGTTTGAACGCGTTGTTGCAGGCGGTCGGCATTTTGAGCCGGGAAAGTGCCGACTTTAGAGAGGAGCCTTCACTCCGGGGAATCCTTCCCTCAGATTTCTCCCCAGGCTCCACACCCAACCCCCCCCCGGTCAGGTGTCTCCAAGTGTGGAAGTCCTGGGGATGTGCGGTCTTCTTTTGGTTTCCCCCAACCCCAAAAACCGTCAAAACCAGCCCTGAATGAACCCTTCGCCTCTTGTTCTCTCGGCCCAGGCGCTCTTCGCCAGGCAAAGACGTATCGATTGCGCGGTGTGTCGCAGGCGCATGCGGCCTGGAAATGTCTGCGAGTCGGTGAGTAAGGCTGCCCTCCTCAAGTGAATTCCCTTCTCAGCAGCCACTGGATTTCCCTTCAAAAGTTGCAATGGGAGTGATTTTGTTTCGGTTCAAGGGGAAGTCCAAAGGAAAACCACTATTTTTTGCGTCAACTCCCAATGTCCCACCTGCCTGACCTCCAGTGGATGGCCCTGGGAAAAGGGCACCCTTTTTTGGTAGTTGATGTGAAATGGGTCCCCCGTCCCCCAGAAAAAGGAAACAACACGAGGCGATTCACAGGTCTGGTAACACGAGGCTTTCCACAGATGTCCGTTTCACAGACCAAAGCCGAGCTCGGAGCTCTACGAAGGCTTCAGCCGCACTGCCCGAAGCTCAGGGTAGCCATCCGCCTGGGACGTTGGCGGCGGATGCCCCAAGCGGGAGTCTGGAGAATAGGGAGTGGTTCTCTGGTTTTACTTGCCGCATTGCCTCAGCATAAAGATCACTAGGACCTTCCCTCCTTTGGCACAGTGTCCATCCTGCACTTCAGCGCTTCAGCCTTCGAAACGTCCCTCGCTTCCACGGACCTAAAACTGCTCGTCCCGGGTTGTGATGCAACAAAAGTCATGGCCTGCCGAAAGGTGGATCCGAACCAAGTTCTTTGTCTGGCAACCAACAAAACCAAGCATTTGAAGGAGCGGGCCTATAGTCTTGACATCGCCAGTAAGCACTACCTGAACTACTTGGCAAATGTTGGTTGTATCCACTAACGTAGATATTGGTCCTTAAATCTTGTGTGGTGACTTGTTGTTACTCATAGTGGGAACCGCAATCTGCAGGTACAGTTAGCATTCACCCCTTGTCCTGGTTCTTCACGGGAAATGGGGCCAAATCATCTTGGCTGACAGACTGGAAAATGTTGCTTAATGTATTGATGAGCTGCGTGAGGTTGGCAAGATGGTCGGAAACCGGAGATATTCTGGCTAGAATGATGGCCTTTCAGATTGCAGCATTTGGGACCAAGTGGTGGGGGCGCCAAAATCGCTGTGCGGATGAGCCTTTTCGGCAAACGGGAAGCAGCATGAAACCAACCATTCCAGAATTTGCAGATGGACATGAGCCAGGTTCAGCCCTCCTTGTCATATCCCTGACTATCAATTATTGCAATGGTTGTCTACGTTCCCCAGACATTCCCTATCAACCCCAGTCAGCAGGTGTTTTGGCCATGGCACACATGTTGTATTTTGTTTGAGTGCGGCCCCATGTCATACCCTCTACAGTTGATGGAGACCAACCTCGGCATTGATGAGTTTCACAACGGTTATCAAGCCCTTGGAAGGCAAGCTCAATGACTCCAACAAATTCGGGTTGCCCTACCTCAATCGAGCTAGTCCACCAAAAACAAAGAAAACATATTTTGTCGGAGAGTCTTTTGCTGGATTCTGTGCTCCGCTGCCGGGCTTCTTCCCTTTCCCGAGCCTGCAGGCGCCGTACGATCTCCTGCTGCACCTGCTCTCCTGGCATCCAACCCTCCAACCCTCCTCCGCTGAGTCTGAAAGGCTTGCCAGTAGACAATAAAATATTCGTGTGCGTTGTGCCTGCCAAAAAAATGCAATGGCGCCTTCGTGGGACCCAGGAAAGACCGGTTTACAAGGGTTTTCCGCGTCGTCACAAATGTTGGGAAAGGAGCTTCACAGAGCTAGAACTCGAGATGGGTGCAAAACGTGTTGGTCCGGCTTGCCCTCATCCCCACCCCAGCCATCCCCCAGTTGTTGAGTAGGTTCCACCCTTGTTCGGGGAACCAACGCCCGCCGCCATTGTTCGCCCAACTGCCTGAAAGCTTGCTACTCTCCGGCTGACCCCAAACTTGCGACCCGACCCGACCCCACCGCCAGCGCAAACTTCCGCCGGCTTCGCCCCAGGCCCAGAGCTGGCCGTCCCCGCAGCCCGCGCTGCCCGACAGCTTCTCCAGGCCCGAGTCCTTAGCAGCCCCAGTCGCTCGGTGCTCCACAGGTGGTCAAGCTGTCTCCCATTGGCATAGGTGCCACTGGCTAAAACCGGGAAGGCGCGGACTGCTCGAGTCGAGTGTGGTTTCTGGAACAAAAACGCCCGAAGAGCGTCCACGCGTCTAAGCCCGCCGTCAATGCATGAGGGCTGTGGGTTTTCTGAGAACCCCCGCGTCGCGGAGCGTCAGCAGTTTCCGGGACCCATCACGGAAGATGCCCAGCCTCGGGGCCAGACTCTTCCGCAAGGAAGAGAGCACCCAGAAACCAGGGAGCAAAACCCTTTTAAAATGGCAACCACAGGGTTTTTTGTCGCTGTCTTGCGATGTCGGAAACAAGGCTCAAAAGGAAGGATTTGGCAAAGGCCATTTGACACACCCCTTCAGACTTCACCCCACCACAGCGCTCAAGCGCTGGACCAGCCAATTTTCCAAGCAAACATCAGCATCTGGAAGCTTGGTGGGCAACCGAATAAAGTGCCTTGCCACCGCTTCCAAAGTTCAGTTTGCATGATGTGTTTCTCGCCTGGGACCCGACCAGGGCTTCCACCACTTCTAGCAACCACCTACAAACGATTCCGATATCAACCCGGGATTTGTCCGTTTTGTGACCATTTCTGGGGAGCCACGTCAGGTCCCAGGGAGAGGGTGCACTTTTGGCATGCGCTGACGAAGTCAACCTCCTGCGAATTACATGATTTGGAGCCTGAAACAAAAAGGCTTGCTAAGAGAAGATTCCTCTGTGAAAGGTTGCTCATCAGGCTCCATGTCAGTGATCGGCAGAGTGCAGGCTGTCACTTGAGCTGATATCCGGCGCATGGGAACTCTTGTACAAGGTGGCGCCATTTGTCCAGCTCGGCGACCAAGCTCGCCAAGACAAATAATTCAAAAAGAATGTAACGGTGTCACGCCAACAATTTTGAGCCAGAATCAATCCCTCACATTCAAGTCTAACCAAAAGCCTTTAAAATCTCAGAAATTGCGAAAATGGTTCAACTATATCTTTTGCATGTGTCTGCGCCAGAGGCTTGCATTTGCTCAGATTCTGGCACTTTTGAACTGCACGAAAGCGAATGGAATGCTCCGGTCACGGAAATTTTCAGAGTGTACCCCGGCTAACCCCTAACCTAACCTCCGCCCCGGGGGGGGGGGGTTCGGGTTCGGGTTCGGGGCCGGGTTCTTGGTGGGGCGGGGGGGTTCGGGTTCGGGTTCGGGTTCGGGTTCGGGTTCGGGTTCGGGTTCGGGTTCGGGCTCTGGGCCAGGCCGCTTGGTGGGGGGGGGGGGGGTTCGTGTTCGGGTTCGGGTTCGGGTTCGGTCGGGTTCGGGTTCGGGCCGGCCGCTTGGGGGGGGGAGGTTCGGGTTCGGGTTCGGGTTCGGGTTCGGGTCTTCGGGTTCGGGTGTTCGGTTCGGGTTCGGGTTCGGGTTCGGGTTCGGGTTCGGGCTCGGGCTCTGGGCCGGGCTGCTTGGGGGGGGGGGGAGATTCGGGTTCGGGTTCGGGTTCGGGTTCGGGTTTGGGTTGGGTTCTTTTTTGTGGGGGTTCCGGGTTCGGGTTCGGGTTCGGGTTCGGGTTCGGGTTCGGGTTCGGGTTCGGGTTCGGGCTCTGGGCCGGGTTCTTGGGGGGGGGGGGGTTCGGGTTCGGGTTCGGGTTCGGGTTCGGGTTCGGGTTCGGGGTTCGGGTTCGGGCCGGGCTCGGGGGGCCGGGCTGCTTGGGGGGGGGGGGGGGAGGTTCGGGTTCGGGTCGGTTTCGGGTTTGGGTTGGGCTTCTTTTTTGTGGGGGGGGGGGGGGTTCGGGTTCGGGTCTGGGTTCGGGTTCGGGTTCGGGTTCGGGTTCGGTTCGGGTTCGGGTTTCGGGTTCGGGCTCTGGGCCGGGCTGCTTGGTGGGGGGGGGGGGAGGTTCGGGTTCGGGTTCGGGTTCGGGTTCGGGTTTGGGTTTGGCTTCTTTTTTTGTGGGGGGGGGGGGTTCGGGTTCGGGTTCGGGTTCGGGTTCGGGTTCGGGTTCGGGTTCGGGTTCGGGTTCGGGTTCGGGTTCGGGTTCGGACTCTGGGCCGGGCCGGGGGGGGGGGGGAGGTTCGGGTTCGGGTTCGGGTTCGGGTTCGGGTTCGGGTTGGTTCGGGTTCGGGTTGGGTTCGGGTTCGGGTTCGGGCTCGGGTTCGGGCTTGGGGGGGGGGGGAAAATGGTAAAAGTAGGGGGCCTGGGGGGTGGCCTGTTGATGGTTGCCTGTTCTGGTTTTTATGTTCATCTCAAATCTGTGTTCCCCCTTGTTCGTTTTGAAAAGAGGGTTTTTAGGGAGCTTATTTATCGTTTTCGTTAAGGTAATCATTTTGGTAATTGCCCCCCTTGTTCATTGTTGGGCTGGGGGCAAACATTTTTTTCATTTGAAAGAGTTAACCCTTTTAGTAGTTATCAAGTTCTGGGGAGTTGGTGGTGTATTTGTTTTCGCTTCGTCTCCACCCAATAATTCGGTCGCCTGCCTGCCACGGCTACGACTTCTTCATCTTCATCTCTGATTTGTCAGGATGCTCAGAGTGTATGAAGTTACGGACTGTGTTTGTTTGAAGGTGCAACTTGATTTTGAACCGTAGTTTGACGAACATCTCAAGTGCCGAAGTGTTGTCATTCCTTCCTGTGTAAAGATGGCTCCCAAGAAAGCCTCTCAAGCGGCTGGGTCTGGTGGCTATGACAATGACAATGACGTGGTTGAGCAACCAACCATTGAAGATGGTGCAGAGGGACAGCCATCTGATACTGATGATGAGGAACAGCTCATCCAGTTGGTGAAGCAGTTGTCAATGGAAGAACTAAGCCAACAATCCGAAGCCTTCACCCTTCAGATGAAGCAGTTTGAGAAGAAGCTGAACATCGTGAAGGAACAGCAGACTCTTCTGAAGAGGCTTGCGAAGGACGAAGTCGAGAAGCAGAAGAAACTTGAGAAGCAGGAGCAGGAGAAGGTAAAGACCCAAGCTAAAAAGGCTGGAACGCTCAAGGTGGTCATCACGTTGCCCTCTGGAAAGAAGGTCACGATGAAGGTCAAACGCTCTAAGACACTAGGCAACATTCGTCGCAAGATGTTGGAAAAGACTGACGAGTTCAAGGGCTACAAGAAGTTGGAGGACATTGCTTTGACCATGAATGGTAAGAACCTCTTGAGTCACCCACGTGTCTACATCTACAACACAGAACTCGGCGGTGAAGAGACTATGACAGCCATGTGGGCTTCCAACTTTCAAGCCACGAATCCGACAACTTCGTCAAGTTCGGTGACCCCTCCTGAACAGCCAGAGCAGGAGAACCATGAGAATGCTGACGATGAAGAAACGGAAGAAGAGGACGGTGAGACTGATGTGGAGACTTCCTGAGGATGACATTTAGGTCATTTCAATTCGGTAGACATTTAGCAGAGCCACACGAAAGGAAAGTTCATGAGTGTTCATAGACGTGCAGATGTTTCTCTTCTTTCTCAAAAAGCAATGTTGAGCTCTGCTGAAACCTTTGCCTTTGGAGAAGGCAGACACGATGAACAGATTGAACAGTGCGCCAAACGACAGCTCACATCAAGCAGAGTGCTTCTGAATGCGAGACTTTGCAAATCAGCCTTCGCTTGATTCACCTTGTTTTGGTTGTTCAGATTGGCATTTGGGCTCCTGAGTAGTGTTGTCCCTCCCGTTGCTCTTCAGCGATGTCCTTGCTTGTCTTCCAGCAGGGTGAGCATGTTGCCTTGAAGATTGTCGAACCAGGCGTGTTCCACTACCACCACGAAGGGACTGACATCTTCAGACACCGTCAGTTTGTCCCTACACTGGCTGAGATTGAACAGCTTCCACGCCCCTTGATGGTAAATATGCTTCGAGATGTTGTCCCAGTCAATGCTAGAATGAACAAGCACACGTTGGCGAACCTCATCCGTCAAGGTTGGCAAGAGGTCTCAACCAATATCGCCTATCGCTTTGGCGCTGAATCAATCTTTGATGATGTTGCCAACACAGTCACGGAGGATGACGATGACGCCGCGTCCTCCATCGCCGTTGCTGAGAGCTTGACGGCGTCACATACTGAGGACGAAGATGATGAGATGTTCCTCATCAACCTTGACAAGACTGACTTGAACAGTGAGATGTCTTTCTTGCCCTATACGATGACTTTGAAGGTTGCCACCATGAACGGGGACATCGCCATGACCTACCACTTTGATGACCAAATGACCGGTCATTCTTTGATGGCTCTTGTTGAGCAGGTGTCTGGCGGCAGGCTGAACTACCAGAACACTGCTCTCTACCTACGCGACATCGACATCCCCATCTACCAGTCTCTTCACAGTTGCGTGGACAATGACATGGTGGTGACGCTCGTTCCCAGATTGAGAGGCGGCGTCTTTGGTGGAGTTCGTCGCTTCATCAACAAGCAGGAAGCCATCGCCTCCTTGGTTGAGAAGAGCAAGAACCGCATCAGACAGAGAACATCCACTACCGAGATTGCCACCTTGGAGGGCAACCCTCCTCGTCAGTTTGCAGATGTTCTCAACGGGATTGAGGACAAAATCCGCACCTACCGCCATCAGATGCTGTCTGGCGAATTGACGATGGACACCTTCCTTAACCGCTTGCCAGACAACAAGATTGAGGAGCTGATTGCCATATTTGACTACCAGACCAACAGCCACACCGAAGAGAAGGTGGTTATCGCTGTTGATGTCATCTACGAAGATGCTCAAGCTCTGGAAGCCCTACCCCCATTCATCAAGAAGGCCAAGGAGGTCATCGTGTTCTTCTTTTTGGAGTTCTTTGCCCGTGAGTGCTCCTCAATGCGTGGGGCCAACATCGGCTACACCAACAAGAGGTTCCTGAAGAGCCTGACCGATATCCAGAGCTACCGCCGTGGTTTGAGGGCAAATTCTACAAATGAGCCTGTGGCAGAGTCACGAGTTGAAGCTGGTTGCATTTTGTCCTGAAGTTGCAATGGCTCATAGTGTAAGTCCTTCACGGAGTGCTTTTGATGGTAAAATCCCGACACAGAATGAGGCAAAATCCCACCATAGAATGAGGCAAAATCCCGCCATAGAATGAGGCAAAATCCCGCCATAGAATGAGGCAAAATCCCGCCACAGAATGAGGCAAAATCCCGCCACAGAATGAGGCAAAATCCCGCCACAGAATGTGGCAAAATCCCGCCACACACATTGTTTTGTCATTTGAGGCTCTCCGTGTTGGCAGTGCTTGTGATGTGAGATGT